CCCCCCCCCTTCCCTGTGCACAATGGTCTCCTGGACCCCAGGGGCCCTTCTGTTAATTCTGCACTATGATCATGGCTGAACTAAACAAAGCAAAAGCCTGAAAGAGGTGACTTCAAGGACAGAAGCAGGGTTAAAAGCACCAATGGCCTGCCTGCCTGCCACGACCAAGACTTTTTTCAGCTTGGCTGGCAAGATTTACGTACAATATGGCAGGTAAACATTCAAGTTTTTTCTAGATGGCAAGCTACAATTTCAGTTGAAATTTTTTTGTATTAGCCCATCAATATGAAAAACACAGACGTTTTCCCCAAACTTTTTTAACAAGTCAGGTTCAACTAGTGGAGAAAATCTGAATTTTTAAGCCAGAAGGGAGTCTGGGGGTCAGGAGACCTGTGTCAGCCATTTTTCATACCTGGCTGCTGAATTTGTGGAGCCAAGGTTGGGGTCAGATGTTCATTGCACAGATCATGGGTACTGCAACACTGAGCATTAAATACATCCTTGTTGTCTGGGACTGGTGCACAGTTAAGTGGGACCTTCGGGAGAATACTCTTGTCGCATCTAGCAAATGAAGAGAACATTGGATTATTCAGTTTTATTCTTTCAGAGCAGCATTTTTTGTTGTTGTTTTTTAGGGGAACAATTCAGATTTTTCAAAATCTTTAACACCCAGAAGATTGCCTTTTTATCATAACTAAATACTCACTCACGTTTATTTTTTTCATAAAAAATAGATATAACCAATTCCCAATGAAACACCCCTTGCCCTCACAAAGATACTGAGCAACTATCTTTCACTATCTGTAGAACTGTAATGGCTGCCAGTAAGTGCCCCCGAGGTTAGCAGTAGTAAAAAGGACGAGTTTCACAGGACATAACAGAGCTACGGATGTAGTCAATACCTGGGCATGCGAGTACCATGATCTGTCAATACAAGTGCCAAGTAAAGCGGCCACAGCCACTGCAATGTAGCATACACAGTTTGCCATGGTTTAATATGAGGATTATATATATACATGAAGACAGAGGTATTGGTGGGCAACAATACCTGTGTTTAACAATGCATTGTTAGTAGGGGTTGGGAGAACACACACAGAAGCAAGATGTCACCCTACTACTCTAGAGAACAGAGGGGAGGGTGGACACGGGTCAGTTTCACAAAACAACTTGGGTCAAAAGTTGGTTTTCACTTTAAGATTAAAATAAAAAGGTCTTGTTTGGCTCAAGACAATTCAAAAGTGGTCCACTTAAATGAAGACCACTGGTCCTTTTCATAGGCCCCATTCAGAATAGATGATCTGAGCACTAACTGATCTGTTGACTAAATCTGGCCGACCCCACTTAAAAAGAGATGCCGTTGATTCCGGATGGTCTCCCTGCCTCCACTCGCGCCATTAAACGGATTAAATCTCGGCTACGAGGTTTAATTGCTAGGCCCCTGCAGCGACGGCACGTGGAGGGGGGAGACCATCGAGAATCAGCAGCATCTCTTTTTAGTCGGCGGATCAGTTAGTACTCAGAATGGGGCCAAAATAAAGTTTGAATGGGTTATGTATAAAGGGCCATTCACACTGGCAATGTCAACTGAGGTTGAGTCGCAGTCCTTTCAGGATGAACTTTTCTACAGTGGATAGACTACGTACCCATGACTAGGGTTCTATCGCAGTTAACTCTACATTGAAGTCGAGATCGAATATTTAAATTTTGAAGGCATGCACACAGCTGGGCAGTTTATCAGATTTCTAGGGGATTTCTTACAGTACTAACAACAGCAATCTGCCTTTCTTCCTTGCTGCGCACAATTTTAATGCACATTTTCTGTTGGAAATATTTCTTGACACGGGTAAATTAAATATTTTGTGCAGCATAACAACCATGGCTACTCAAACTCCTGCCATGTTGCTTTATTACTTTTTAATGAAACACTAGTGTGCATGCTTTATAGGAAGTAAGATTGGTGAAAAGCTTTTGCTGCTGGTATTAATGTGCAAATATAGTGGGTTTATTTGACCGCAATTTCTTTGGAGTTAACTGGACTGCAGTTTACTTGCTAGTGAGAATGACCCTAAGACTGTTTTTTAATTGTTAGGTAAGAGTTGTCCCCTTGAGAAGGTAAGTGATAACAAGAAAAAATAATCGGCTGTGTTAAAAAGAAAGTGGTGAAGAAAAAACCAAGCTGTTATTGAAAGATTTCTTTTGGCTAAAAGGACATCTTCCATTTCTACTGTATTTCATGTGTGTATTGTAGGTACTAATAAAATAGTCCTTATTTGTCAAGATGGATGCTTTTATGGTCCATGTCACAATCATTTCAAATACTTTCTTAAACTCCCAAACAGTCTGTCATAAACAACATGATTTCTGTTCTGTACAAGCTGAGGCTAAAACAACAGTTTCCATAACATATTTTCAAATTGATAAAACTGTTCTCTTTTGCCACACTTTAATATTGTGAAGTTGTATGTGTTTGGCGCAGTTTCCAAACAGCAAAATGGACTAGCCAAAAGAAGCCACATGGTGCAAAAAAATGAAAACTGCTGTGGCTGCTTCAAAAAGTTTAGTTGTAATAAAAATCTGTTGCCTTAACCAAACCCCCCCTTTACTTCATTGAATACTTTTGTTTTATTCTTAGTTCAGATGTATTCATAGACTGCTGATGACCAATTTATATTTTCCAATCTCTACTACTTTGAGTTTCGACTGAATTCATTACAAATTCCTTCAGAGCATAAAGTTTTTCAAAATATCCTTTTAATTTGTCTAATCTATGCATCCTGACATCTTTCAAGTTAGGAAAATGATTACTTTTGTTTGATTTTCATTTACCTTGTCTGGAAAAAGTGCTTAGTAAAAAGGTGCACCTTCATCATTTTGGTTACACCTCTGCCAGTGAGACTGTGCAAAAGTGAGCTTCAAACTGTGAGATCACAACACATAATACTTATTAGATACAACACCTACATGCAGAAAAGATAAAAAGCAGCCCAAAGCAACATAAATGGAAGCCATAATGTTAAAGGGAAAATCAAAGATGTTTGAACCAAAGACCAGGCCCTTGAGAAGACAAAAAATAGAAGATTGGATAAGAAAAGCTGTTATTAAGATTCTCCAACTTCATCAACTTTTCCTTATGGTCCCATCCCCACCCCTGTTTCAAACTACATGGTACTGTGTGTAAGGCCCACCAAACAACATGCTCGCAATTGAAAGATGATGGTACTTGCAAAACTAAAATGAAGCAGTTAGGGAAATGCGTAATCCTAATTTCAGACTTGGAAATAAGCGAATAAGGAAGGAGATCAATTTCCTTGGAACTTAAACATCTTTAGAAATATACATATATATATATATATTTTTTACAATGTATTTACATAAAAAACATGAATGCTGCAATATTGTGGCTGAATATATATATATATATCACATACAAAACAATAATCATGCTCTTAAAACAATTACCCTCAAATTAACAATCAATAATCGTCAGTATTAGTATTATACAATATTGCAATTTGACATTTGTGCACAGTCATATTTATTTTTTGTGCACAAAACAGTTAAGCTTTAAAGTTGACACAAACTTATAAATGACATATAAGGCAGTTCTGCAAGAGAACTTGAGTTGAAAGTTGATCCCAACTTTTTTGTAAAAAGTCTTTAAAAAGACTTTTTACAGCAAACTTTGTAACCATATAACAACAACACATCAAATATTTTCTAATTCAAAATTATGTATCATTAAAAATTAAAAAGAAAATTGCCTTCTATACTCAAAAGTTATTTTATTTACTTCAACTGAAGTTAAACGAAATATAATTTTAAATAACATTTTTGTTTTTCTTGTATGATTCTTTTCCTCTTAATCACAAAAATGATGAACAGATTATTTTAATTTCCATATTTCACTGCTTGGAGAAATGGGAGAGTAGGAAATAATCTGTAAAACTGTGGTTTTAAAATAATACAAGGAAGTCATGCCCTTTCCATATATTTCACATGTCATCATTGCTCACACAGCATTATCTTGCAGTGGCCAACATATATAACCACAACAAACCAGCACTACTCATGCAATAGCCTTGTTAACCATCTACATTTTCCCTCTCATGCTTCAGTATGCTATATTTTCCTTCAAATTTAATCTGAAAACAAAAACTTTTACCTATCAGCTATCCAATATATTACAGCAATTTTGCCTAATTACAAGGCTTCAATTAAAAAAAACTTTTAGTTTTATGATGCACAAACTTTTAGTGTATTTTGAATATTGTCACCTGGTGTCTAGTTTCACAAAATTAATTAAGAATATATTTTAATTCAAATAAATTACCTCTTTTTGTTTGTTTAGTAGTATTCCAGTCAAAAAATGTTCACTCTTATATGTTCTTCTTTGAAGTATCTTTTAAACAAGTATTTTATTTGAGAAAACTATTATAGATTTATTCCTAATTAATGACAGAAACAGAAGAAAATTTGTATCAGTGTTAAGACTGCCCATCAATTTCAGTTTTACTGCAAAACTTGGGTCCGTATGACACCAATAAACCAGTCTTCCCAGTGAGAACAAATTCTTTGTTAAGACTGCTTATCTTAGATAGTCAACTGGGTAGTCTGACTTTGTGATGTTGGTCTATAATGAGCTTCTCTCTCTCTCTCTCTCTCTCTCTCTCTCTCTCTCTCTCACACACATACACACACCTATAATATAGTAAGTTGACATATCTTAATGGCCTAATATCAGCACTGAGAACAGAAATCATTAGGGCCATTCACACTAGCAAGTTTACCTTGATTCAATAAACCTCGATAGAACTGTAGTCAATTAAAACCCACTTTGCTTGCGTTTCAGACTGCCTAGGGCAACTATTAACATGCACACTATTGTTCTCAGTAAAAAGTGATGTTATGAACAATATGGCAGAAGAACAAGTTGTGTAATGATTGTTATGCTGCAAAAAATATTCAATTTACTCATAATTTAAAAAATATATTTCCATCAGAAAAATACAACACATGTGACTGTTCTGTGTATAACATGCAAAATTTGCAAAAATTGCCCATTTGTGTACATACATTCCAAATGTGAACAACATCCAGATAAGCCCACGATTTAGAGTATTAACCACAATAGAACCCACGTCCTTATCTGGGTTTATTTGCACCCCACCCAGGGGTGCACACATCTCAAAAGAAACGTCAACCATGTTAGGAACACGGTCAGGCATTATCCACGATCAAAATTGCTAGTGTGAATGGCCCTACTGTCAAACATTCTGAGAAAATCTGAGAAATAAAGGGAGAGACCTTAGCGATCCTTTGAAATGCACTGAAGCCGACTAGAACACAAAGCCATCTTCAATCTTAACTAAGACCAGTTTCTGTGATCAGTTTTACGGTAGAATCTTTACTTTAAAACAGATAGTGTCTTAACCTTTCCACTCTACCTCAATTGCTTGGTAAGACTAGGTTCATATTTGGGTCATTCCACAAAACTGTGATACACATTTTGTGTAATATTTGCATTTGCTGTTTAATATCACTTTTAAACTACCATTGATATCTTTCCATATTGGAGGGCATTATAATAATAAAACAGCAAAAATAATGGGGGAAGTCAAAGTAATGCAAATATTACACAAATGGTGTGCATTGCTGACATGACTCAAATGCAGGGATGAGACTTAATGACTCCCAAAAAGTTTGAAATTCCCTGATAGCCCGAAAAATCTAATAACTGTAGTCAGCACCAATGCCATCCCAAAAGTCTGAAAATAGGCCGATTGAGAAAAAAAATCTCATTCATACAAATATTCACTATGGAATGACCCTATCAGTACACCATACTAATTACCCAACAGCACAAATCTGACTGCGACCTACCTGTACTGATATTTGATATCTCCACCTGTGGACAGATGGACAGAGGTATAACAAACCCCATCTGTGACACATGTATAGTTTGTGTCCTTACACATGTCGCAATGACACAGCAACCCTGAAACATATTTGCCTCGTGTAAGTGTTGCCTTTATCATCATTTTCTTGATTCTGTTTTTCTCTACTTACCGAACATGTTAAATATTCTAATATAGGTTTTCAAATTTTTTTCAATATGAATTATACATAAACAATTAAATGCTGATTGACAGGGAAACAAAAACTGTCTATTTATACAAAGAGTACCATATAAAAGTTCCATGTACATATATTAGGGCATAGGCAAAGTATCATAATATATTTTTTCTCAAAGGAATAGATAAATCTTACAGCACATTATTTATTCATTATAATTTATATATACACTGCATAATAAATGTAAAAACTGCACAGCTGTTGCTGTACAACAAACCAAGGTCTTCAAAGCATTTTGTACATGGAATTTTGTAGAGTATCAGGAGTGAGGTTAGACAATTAGCTATTGGTCTCTGAACTTTGGATTTTTGTACCAAGTCTAATTTTCCTAAATGTAAAAAGGCAATTTCTTCTTTCTTGTGAGTCATTGCTTGACTTCGATTGAATTTTTTTTAACAGTTTCTGAATTAAAAATATTTAGAATCTAGTTCTAAATGACTCCCGAGTTATTTAGACCACTGTTTTCCTGATATTTCAGATGGAAATAGTGACATTTAAAAGGTCTGAGTTGGAGAAAAAATGTGCTTTGCAGGATATCTAGACATAAAAATATGAGTTTGTAGAAAAAAGTGGTTCAGGGAGTTAAAGTGAGGCCACTGACTTACATTATTTTAGGGACATTCTCAAAACTACTACTAGTACCAATAATTAGGTCACAATGCAATGCTATAATTCCACTGTGTATTATCAACCAAAACTGTAGAAGAGACTTCATATAAGGACAGGTCTTACACTAAGAATGTTTAGTCTAATATTTTCTACCTTCATCTTAACAAAGGCATTTTATGCATTCGGAGTTGGGAGTTATAATTTAAGATTAGCAAGTCGACTCCGTGTTAACAATATTGACAACAGAAATTATCATTGGTTTATTTCCTTTAAAAACAGCTTTGGCAGCCAACAGGCTAACCAAGGCCTGGGCGTAGATCAAACTACGGCGAACATAATCAATCAGCTGCAGCTCGGCCATTTTAAAGCTTAAAATTCGAAGCGCTTGCATTGATATGGGTCTTGTAAGCAATGCCGTCTGGTTTTACAGTTAATATGGGGTTTAATGCTTACCGACTGTTCCTTCTAACAAGGCAACTAGAACAAACAGCTCTAGTAGCAGAAAGAGGGACGACATCTTACTGGACGGGCACCTGCTTTTTTATCCCTGTACCTTCCCCATCGCTTTTTGGTGGCTGTTTTACGGATAATAACCAGACAATATCCCTACGCCTCGCTTAATAAACGTTCCACTAGCCTCGTTTCACTTGAGAATACTTAAATTTTTTGCTTTAAAGAATTCTCCTGAATAAACGTCTCATTCTTCTTGAATCCCAGTTGAATGTATCAAATATGACATAAGCTATGCCGTCTTTAAGGGATTATGTTTTTGCGCATTAAGAGAAACTGTATACGTGCGTCACGCGGTGTCTGGCTATGACGGCATATTTGACCTAGCGGCGACCTTCTAAAGACCTATTAAGTGCTAGCACGAATACAAAACAGCAACAAAAGACAAAAAAGAAATTTATTCCTAATCTTATTAGAAAATGCTCGTATTTCAATTATATCAAAGGCCTGATTGTGATATAATGTGATTAAATACGACTTATTTGTTTTGTAAAAAATTCGTTTTAACTACAAGTAGGTCTAAGCAGAATTCCCATAATTTGTTGTGTATATACCTAACATTAGGCCAATCATGTAGGCTTAATGTGTTCAAAATATTTTTGATGAAAGGGAAAGAATAAACGAGGAATACGATCAACCAGTTTTCTCATTGTATTGTTTTAATCATAATCAAAAGCTTTATTATAATCATCCATTTTTTATTTCATATCCATTTAAAAAGATTTAATCTATTTTTTTAACACAACTGAAATTAATACCAATATAACATTCTGATTTACAACTTCAAAATATCCGTTAGAATGCTACTCTCATTAGGTATTTATTATTTCTTGTCGTTAGGGCTAATACATATGAATGTCAAGACTAGACCACAACAGACTCCGTTTATCAGGAAAATATGTGATGCACTGAACGTATTCGCACTCGGCTGTCATTTTCATTGGTTAATGAACATAAAAACGAAGCAAAAGGACTTTAAAATGCTTCACTACTCTACGGAAATGAAAAAAAAAAAAGCATCGCAGGTGGTCACGGATCTGAATTTAAATTAATTTTCTTAAAATAAAATCTATACACGCCAGTTTTTATTAGTTCATTGTATAGGCGTATGTTTTTCTGTTTCTGTAAACAGCGATTTTATCAGTTTGGTTTAAAAACACTTAATCGATTTTGACTGAAATTTGCATTATGGAAAACTAGTGCATGTGGTATTCTAAAGTCCTTTCGTGTGGTTTTGTCAGTTCATTAACCGGTTAACGTGACAGCCTAGAGCGAACGTCATAATGTTTTAGTTTTGCGATAGTCACAGCTACCGCACTTTTCAGCTCTTAGCTGTCAGTAAGGAAACAGTAACGGATTGAGGGGGGTGTCAGGGGGGTCCTGACCCCCCCCCCCCCCTTCGGTTTTTGGAAAAAATCACATCAATATTCCCCTCATAAAATTATAATTTTGAAGAGCTGAATCATGGTTCTAAACTGCACCAAATGACACCGTTTGCCCTCTTAAGCACCAAAACCCACACCAAGGGGGCAAGGATCGGCTTCGCATCCGAGACCTGTCATTCTTTGAAAAACTGGACCCCCTTTATGTAATCCTGAATCCGCCCCTGGGAAAGGCTCTCTTGTGGCCCTAGGCTTCATACGTGATCGCAGCAATGGTTTTACTACATATTTCAAGACAAATAAAATAAATAACCATAGCCCACAAGACCTGCACACCAGTATTCTCCTTAATTAGTAGGCTCTTAATACAGGGGTTGATATGATTTGTAAATGATCACAATTCAGGCTTTTGTTCTTCAATGAAATATCTACACAGATCAATGCATAATTTCAAAATACATAATAACAAATAAGTAAGAAAAAAAAATGATCATGAACAAATGTTGAAGGTAATCTAATTACTTACCTTTACAAATGTCCTGCTCCAAATCTGAGCCAATATAAATGTCTTGTAAATAAATGAAAATAATTTTAGGCATGAATATTCTAAGTTATCTTATTTTTGAAATGTTAATCAAAGGCACTCTTCACGAGGTTTATCTAACAAAATGAATTTTCCCGTAGGAAATAAAAGCAATTTCTCCTACTTGCGAATCATTGTGCGACCCACCCCTGCACCTGGATACGACTTAGTCAATTTTTTAAATTTTAATAATTTAGATCTAAAAGACTGGCCAGTCGTATAGAACGACATCTGCTTTCCTAGATCTTCACAGGGCAATGCCATGTTTTCACTTTATAACACAAGAAAATCAATGGGGTGGTCTATCGCGGACCTGTGTCGTGTTTAATACAGATTTGCGAGCTGTCATTGCTGAATAATAGTGGTGATTGCATGGACAAATTAAACTCTCTGACCACAAGGTCCGCTAGTAGTCTTACAAAATTATTAATGTATTATTGTATACTATTTTATAGGGCCCTGATGTCATAGGGTAGCCCAATTAAATTTTTAAATTTTCAATTTTAATCAAATTACATCAAAGTTTGGTAAATATAGGTGTTTGAATTTTAACCTGAATGGCTTAAAGTATTTTTTAACTAGAAACTACTGCAGTCCAGCTTTTAAGGATGTTTTCGGTTGTAAAGGGATTGAGTAACATCAGAGATGGCTTCATCTCCTAGTTTACGTTTAAAAAATCAGCCTCAGCTCAATTGTGTTAATGGTCTCCAGTAAATGTTTTTACATGTAGCTGGTTTGCTGGTTTCTGTGTCTTTCAATAGGAATCAATTTAATATATTTCAAATGCTTCATCTCGGGTATAGTAAATATTAAGAAAAGTTTGTATAGTCTCCTGAGAGAGGAAGTTGCTCCGATAGTTGCTCCGATAGCTGGATACAGGGGCGGATCCAGGATTATTTTGGGGTCCGATGCGATGCCGATCCTCCCCCTCCCCCCAACTTGGAGTGGGGTTAAGGGCACGACAATTTTTGGTATTTTAGAGTGCGAACGGTGCCATTTGGTACGGTTTAGAACTCTAATTCAGATAGTCAAAATTCTAATTTCAAGAGGGGATCAGAAATCGAAGAGGGTGGGGGGGTGGGTGGTCAGGACCCCCCTGACCCCCCTCTAAATCCGCCACTGGCTGGATATATGGTCCGTTTTGTCAGGAGAGTCCTGATGTAATTTATGTTTAAAATTTCATTTTTTTTAAAATTCCATACAAACAGGATTAATACCGGACTATTCTAAATAAATTCATTTATCAAAATTGCATATGGATTATAAATGTGGCCAAATCAAAGTTTTATTAACGTTACAAAACTGATTTTTTTTTCCAAACAATGGCTAGACTCAACAATTTCCTTTCATGTACTGTTCAGCATCTAGCAAGGTACCTTCATGAAATGAAGCCACAGATGTTTTTGTCGTTTGTGCCCTAGAAGTGAAAATAACTGATTTTAGCTGTTGTTTGAAAAAACTATTATTATAACTTTGGGTGCATAACACAGCTGTTGAAGTACTTTTCAAGGTTTTATCATTTTACTGCAAATTAATCACCAGGTTCTGAAATTGTCCAATATATACAGCAATTAGATTAGCTTTTTATGTCAAAATAATATTTGTTTGATCCAATTACACACCAGTGAAATACACAGCTCACATCATTTCACGTATCATATCCTAATTAAATTTTCAAGAAATAAAGAACAAAAATTTTTATTGCTGGTTCATTTTCAAAATTCCATTATTTGCTTTAAATGGCCGTATCATAAAAGGATTGAATTTTCATATATGTAGGATGCTGAATTAGCTTCCTGGAAATGTCAGAGATAAGTTTCTAACTATCTCTGAAACTACGTGTGCCAAACCCTTTAAATCAACATACAACAGAAATAGTGATATTTTTTTCATACTGTATTTTTTATTCACAATTTTCCCCACAGTCATCTACAGTACACTTTTGTCTATGCACATATTATATAATAGTGATGACACATAGGCACTGTCTCAATGAATGGGTATAAAAACTGAATTCTCCAAGTCAAATCACCAAACATGAAATAAAAAATGGATATTCACCTGCAAACATAAAATTGTGCAGTGTTGTAGTAATAGAGTCCCTTTACAAGATCAACAAAAATGACGGCACACTTTTTAAATCAAAAATTCAAAGCAGAAAGTCAGAAGTTGAAAAATGTAAACATTAAAAGTCATTGTCCTGATTCACAACCATACCAAACCAAGCAGTTATACTTGAAGAGATTTCAGTTATAAACTAGTAACAAAACCAGCACTTTTTAGCTTTCACATGCAAATATAAAAAAATAATAATGTTTTTAACATAGAAATGTGACCTTATTTCTTGTATTTTGTACATTTCCAGTATAACTAGACATAAGTTATCTTCACATAACTGTTTACAAATGTATACTTTCTGTTTATATATGCTAACAACTAGTGAAGTATATTTTAAAGCATTTTTTCAAAAAGTATCATTATTTACATACGCTACTGTTCATAAATAATGCGTAATAAATGAGTACAATATGTGAATAAATTGTTCAATAATTTGGATAAATAGTTAGGTGAAATTATGTTTAAATGTCATATTTGTGCTACACCATAATAATGCTTTATATTTCCCTTTCCGCAACTTTCACTAAAGTACATAATGTCCTTAGCTATTGAGTTACATTAACATTTATTCTCTTGATAAGAGTTTTGTCACTATATTAAAAACACCATTCTTTGAGCAAATTCACAGCATTTTCTTTCAATAAAGTATCTCATTTGGAAATTTAAAAAAACAAGTTAAAATGCTAAGCATTAGATGCTGTCTAAATCTTTAAGGAATATCCAAGATAATTTATCAATTCAAAGGCACATTAAAAAAGTTAAAAATCAAGCCTTTTGTAATAAATAATTTCAATTTGTTATTAAGAACATGATTTGCATTTTCAAAAGAGCAGTAAACTATCATCTAAAATGATTAATTTTTTTTGCAATGACATTTTTAAGTACATAATTTGCAGATGATAGAAAACTGGGTTGAATGTGACCTAATCCAAAATATTTAAGTAAAACAGAGTGTCAAGTTACATATTTTAGATAAACAGCACAGTCACCTGTATCATGTTAAACATATAATGCTTATTCAAGGCAATTGCATGTCAACCTGTTCTCCCTACTTTAAAACTCAATGCACAGTAGGCAGGACTGAGATCATAGTTACTTCAGTATTATTAAATGGCAAGAAATAAATGCTTTATCTACACAAATACACATATCCCCTGCTTCAACATCAAGAAAATGTATCCTACATCTGGTTCAAGTTGTCAGAGAAATTTCATTAGTGATAAGTTCGAACTTGAGAGGTTTTTCGTCGTCGTTTGAATCGATCATTTTTGCTAGTGTCTTCTTGACCCTCATCATAGTGAGCCTGGCAGCAGGGTTCTGGTACCAACATTCCCTTATCAGCCTGGACAACTGGGACAAGATCTAAAATTAACAATCAAAAAATAAGTTTACATATTTAGAATTTATAATTTTTACAAATATAATACCTCTAAATGTAAGATTTATACACGTATTACTTCTGTAGTTGGCAGTTATGACTAACCATTGGTAACATTGGCAACTGTTTTAGATATAAAACTATACCATTAGAGTTGTTAAATAAAACTGACCCAGCAATAGGATGGCTGGTGGTAATTATCTACATTAATATTAATGTCAAGATGATGTTACTTCTTACCAGATTGCCTGACCACCTGTTGGGCAGTTGTGGTCTAGACTGGTCTACAACAACCACTTTTCTCATCTCCTCAAAACTGGGATCTGAAGGAACCATGTCGTAGAATGGAGGCTTGTACTCTTCAGCAATGCCTGGGAGAAGAAAAATGAGAATGATTCACAATGTTTTTCGAGAATAAGGTTTGCTAATGTAGGAGTGTACAAAGGATTTTGGTGGGAAAATTAACAAACTTTCTTGATATTATCAAATGATTCATACTGTTTCCATGAATAACGGTTTGCTTAAAAAAGGGTCTACATAGGATTTTGGTGGGAAAATTGTCAACTTTTTTTTTTTGAGATTTTCAACATTCTTTTGTACAATAATATTACTCTGGAGTTCAAAAAATCAAATATCCTTTAATATAAATAATACACCTTCACACTTCCTTTTGAAATAAAAAAGGGGAGATCTGAACAGGAAAAATTTCTATCTTGTATTTTACCCTGAAGGCCATTCTTATGTTAGACTTTGTGATAGACATGGTATGGAACAAAAGTTCTGCTTATTTATCAGAATATCTTCAATATGCTACAGAAAATAACACCATAAATCTAAAAATATAAATTCTCTAAAATCAAAAATAAAAAGGCGGCTTTTTATGATGTCACAATGTAATTTTGAAATGCCAAGATTCAGGTCCGTAAAAGTGTAACAAACACAGACATAATTTCAAAAGAAGAAACATAAATATTGCTTTACCTCCAACAGTGCATCTCCTAGCAATTTCCCATAATACAAGACCAAATGCATACACATCTACACGTTTGAAGGAATCAAAAGACTTGGCCTCCATAGTCTCATCCAACAGTTCTGGAGCCATATACCTCTTAGTTCCTACTTTATTATTCATGCCCATGTCTATTTTGTTGGTCTTGAGTGAGTGCATCACTGCCAGACCCAAGTCAGCTATACAACATGTCCCGTTTTTCCTGACAAGAATGTTTTTCGACTTGATGTCTCTATGTGCTATTGCTGGCTTGCCCTTGGTGCCAAATATCTCCGTGTGAAGGTGAACTAGTCCTGCCGCGGCACTATGAGCCAATTTGAGCATTGCTGCATGATCAAGGGTGGTTCTGTTCAGGTGGTCGTACAGAGAGCCCACCTCGTGATAGTGAGTTATCAGCCACAGCTGCGTGCATGAGTTCCTACTCGTCATATCTGCTGCCAGAAAACCGAGAATGTTCTCGTGTCTCAGTAATACTGTATTGTAGATCTCACTCTCCCGTTGCCAAGAAGCTTCATCTCGAGAAATGAATATTTTCACTGCAACATTTTCACCTTGATAAGTACCACGCCACACTTCACCATATCTACCTTTACCTGGAAGAACAAATTTTCAGGACCTTTTTTTTTAGAGAAAAAGATAAGACAAACACAACTGTTTTATACCCTGATGTCAAAATATATGAAAATATTGTTTTTCTAATTTCACATTATTGATAACTTGCTGCTACAATCTTCAGAACCAAAATATAACAGTGATTGTAAAATAAAAACAGAATTAGCTCTGGTTTTAGCCTGTGAGAATTTAAAATCTTACAGTTTTTTCATTACTTCATTCTACAGTTTTAATAATTCTAATCATAAACTCACTTACCTATACACTCCACTAAGCAGACTTGTCTAGCTACTGTTCTCTGCACCAAAAATGGCAAGCCTGACCCACTACCTGAGGTACAACTAGAGTCTAATAGATCCTGAAATTATCATCAAAAACTGCATCAAAACATAGTTAGAATTAGGTCATGATTTCACAGATTAAAAAAAACAAATTATATTTTGGGTTTCACAATTCAATTGAAGCTTTACCTGAAGGGTACATTGACAGGATAAATCTTTGCACATTTTCATTTTCACTTACTGGTCATACTGCTAGGAGAAATCTAATTTCAGAACTGAGCCCTTTGCCAAACTAATTATCATCCAGAATATTTACATCCCATCTTATCTACTTACATCCAGAGTGGAATCCCCAACCTGAGTTGCCTGAATCTCCCCATTCTCCAGGAAGGCGTGTCGCGCACTGTCGTCGATCTCTCGTAGTTTCTTCTCATGCCACTTTCTACACAGCACTACGACCAGTGCCACTATGACCACCACTAGAACCAAGGGGACCACCACTGCCAGGGACAGCTGCAGGTGGTATGTGGAAGCATCAGAATGAGTGCTGTAGCCTGTAATAAAGATTTACAAATATACGTTTATATATCTTTTTTATCTGTATATCTCTTAACCTAACAGTTCAGGATATTCTTCTCTAGATAATTAGTTTAAAATATAAATTTGAATGAAGCATTTCATTTCTTCTTTTACCACAAGGTTAACATTTCTGTGAAAATACCCATATAAACTGTCTTAAAATTCACTTTGAAGCTAAGTTCATTTCATGTTTTATTGTCAACACTGTAATCTTACCAAGATTTTTTAAAGAAATGCTTTGGTGTAAAAAATCTCAAGACAAACAGAAAGAGAAATATTGTGAAATCAGTCTTAACCTTAATGATCTCACACCCATCACAAACTGTAGTCAAGGCTTTTAAGTTTTATAGAGAACAATGTATACAGTTTGAAATAGTATTCAAATCCATATTTTGAGTGTTGTGGCAACATTTGTAACTAAACAGCAAAGCTGCCCAGTATACAGACACCAACCTTCCGTTGTAGAAACAGGTGGGTATGTGGGGCTCACATCTTTATTGCAGTACTCAGTGTCACAACAGATGGCCGAATAAAACTGCCCTGGCGGTGTGCTGCAGTGAAACTGTTTGGCTTCTAGATGATTATGACATCCTCTCTGAACAAACGGTGTTTCTGTGTGTATTGTGGCAAAGCACTGAAGATGAAAAGATGAATTCAATTAGAAAAAATATCAAATCAATTCTGTGTAATAATGACATCACCTTTTATACAAAAAAATTACTGTATGGATTATGGCAAAATATGTACTAAAAGTAAAGGCATGTGAAACTTACATATGTTGTTTGAAAATATTGATGTGTTGTATATAATGGCTGAATGAAAAACAAATGACAGACTTGCACTCGTTACTCTCCTTTTTGCATTAGAAGAAATTAATGCCTGCTAGTTAAATTGCCATTACAACATATTGCCATTGTGCTCATAATTATGTCCTCTTTGCTTTGGTTGACTAAGATGATCAAATGAACAAATATTGTAAATTATACTATGGTCTCCCACTGCGAAAACTGATGACCCTTCTCTCAATCTTTTTTGTGCTTCTCAAAGATTTGTTCTATGGCAATTTCACCCGCTTTTTAGCAGCCACAATGAAGAAAATCAATAATTCTTCAGGCAGTCATAATAACTAAAATGGAATTGCTATCATCAAATGGCTTTGAAGATGGGAACAAATCACGAGCTTTTTCTCTGCAAAATAATTCAAACTGAAATTGCTGATTTGTCTTTCTATTTTCAAAAATTTTTTTTTTTACTTTTATGATGAGTTTGCACAGGTGTAAAAACTTTGCTTTTTGACCTGAGTGCATGCTGACATTTATGACAAAAACATCTCCCTTCTCACTATTAAAAAAAAATGATGTATCATGTTTGTCAGAAAGTTGGCATACTTATACAAGAAATGTCAAAGAAAATGTTGTCATTTTCAGAAGGTCAATCAAATGACATCATTTTTATAATAACAATAATTACAAGAGGGCACATCTGTGCAAATAACGATTTGATAAACACATTCCTGGATGGGAAACATTGAAACTCACACTGTGATGTTTCAGCAAAATGAACTTTCAAAGAGCATGTGACTTGAGAGACATTTGATCCTTTAAATTATATGTTTTACAGATAACTTAGCAAAAAAACTACATCAATAAATGATCACATGCTGTTTTTTTTTCCTCTTGTGCATGTGATGTTTTTTTTTTAAAAGTATTTTGTCATTTTGCTCAAATTGATCTTTGTGTCAATGTATAAGTTGTATGTGTTTTATAAGTTATTGGCATTTACTTGACAGGCTCTGTTGAAAACAACTGCAAAATAAACAAGCAGTGAAAAGTTGTTTCTTCAAATCAAAGCCGACTTTTCCTTCTTAGTCGCTTGGATAGAAGTAATAATGTAATCGTTCACAAATGACAGCATTCTGAGACTATCTGCTCCCAGTTTTCAGCATCAATACCAAAAACTCAAACTGCAGAAATATAATGAAAGGGAATTGAAATCAAAACCCCTTGAAGCAATCCAGAATTTAGATAATTGATCGAAATGTCATTTTGATCTCCTTTAATGCTGGGATTTTTTTAAACACATGGATCAATAACACTTTGCAATATATTTGCAGTGTGCAGACAGTTGAAATAAGTGTATTATACTTCTGCTCGGCCTGGCATATCTCTCCTCATAATCAAACATTCCTCTTCCCACCACATATCCATTTTTATCTCATGATTCCAATGCAACAGTCCCAATAACATTAGCAATTTATCTGTCAATTTTATGTGCAAAATATTTCACAGTTAAACATTGAAAGGCTAATGCTTAGATAATCTAATATTCTTGGCATCTTATTCAGTTAGTTGATCTGGTCAAAAGTGTAAACAATTAATTAAGACTAAACATGTTTTACTTAATATGATACAGAAGTTTGAAGTTATATCAAGCTTGATGCACAGTGCAAATTAAAAAACACTGACCAATTTGACAATACTAGTGCATTCTGAGTCTGGCAAGTGCTTTGACATAAACACTCTCCAAGTATGACGATTTTCTTTTTTTCAACATTCAACAAGTTCTACCCATCCCAAACAAAAAAATCTGTACTCTGAAGTGTGATGCCACACACATAATAAGGCCATTTTTACAAAAGAAGTCATGTGAAAAGATCATCTTAACTTTAAGACTCAAGATCTTACGCTACTTCAACTTCTAGCTTGCTACTCCAAAATAAATTGGTATCAGCCCATTACATAATTTAATCTTACTAAATAATTAAACACGCACAACATATTTTTGTAAAACAGTTCGCACATTTTCATTTCATACTAGAGACATCATGGGTCATAAAGTTTTAGTTTTAAAATCGAGAACATTTTTGACTTCTGTTCTTTTGTAAATTAAACTGGACCCTTGAAATTGTGAAAGTTATTAAAAGTCTTACCTTGTATGATGTGTGACAGTAGTCATAGTAGGTTCCATCTGAATCTTTATCACAATAGTGAAACTTAGGGAAACATGTGCATTTGAACTGAGGTCTGGCAGTTGCATTCATGGCAAGATGTCAATTCTGGAATGAAACAGGCAGATTTTGGTGTTTTTTTCCAATATGTATCACAAATACCCCTTATTTCTAAATGATACAGAAATTCAAGACAATACATTTCTTTGAATTTTTAATAGATAATAAAGTCATGTGGAATAATTTGATGCATATAATACGTTAATTACTTGATTTTTTCAATGGGCAAAAATTATCAAACTTTCAGATACAGAATTATAATCACAAAAATTATATTTCTACATAGCATTTGTGTTACTACTTTTGCTGCATTGAATAGATCAATATAGTAGCCCATTTTTTTATTTTGTTGCTAGGAATAGGAATAATTTTAAGACTTAGAAAATACAGTATCTGTGAAATTCGCAATTCTCCCCCATCAAAAACATCTAGTAATAACTGTGTTCTGAAAATATTCCTATCTTACACTGAAATACATCTTTTTTTAGAAAATAAAATGTAATATACACTGATATATGAACCCCCCCCCCCAACACCTTCCTTAAACACAAACAAACACACCCATAGTCAATATTCCTTCATATAAATCATTCCCCACTGTATATCAATATGAAAATCAATTTGCCCAATTCATGTTCACAGTCCCATATGAAGTGCCAAAACGTAAGGTCTACCACTCTTTATATGATTGGGTTTTATTATATTTATCACATACTGTTTCAAGCCAGTAGACTAAATGCTCAGTCATGGGTGGTGCTGCTTTCTTTCAGTGCGCCTATGTAATTGTTATCAAAGATTATTGTTATTTAGGCTTGAAATAACACAGGTGGGCATGATACGTAGGCCATTGTACCCTCAAATGTTCACCATCGGCCCATACAATCAATGCACCTTTCTTTACACCCATATATACTTAATAACTTGCAGCTTTAGAATTTCGGTTTCAAAGATATTATTGTGCATACAAATTAAAATGACGATCAAAAGTGCATTTGCTGTCGAACCTCTCTCAATAGCATTTTACAAATTAAATCAACATAAATGTCCTTAAAACATAGACACGATCCTTTTACACATCAGCAAAGATGTTTTCTTATTCTCTTACCCTCTGCGAAGCTTTTCTCTTTGTGGAAGTAAATTTGTTGCATATTTATATTGTAACAATTAAATCAGTGATTCATTTCAGTGAATAATTTCCCTTTTCATGGTCTAGTTCACATATGGACTATATAACTTAGAGAAATGGCTATTACTGCACTATTAACTGAAACCTGAGTCCCAGGTTGTGGCTAAATACAAGCATTAGTTTGTAATTCTTACAATATGCCATTTCAACATGGAAGTAACAGAGTTCCTTCAGTGCCCGATTTATGATCAGATTTATGTATCCTGTGATAAAGTCATTAATATTTCACCATAATACACAAGAGTCAACTGTAACAGAAGTAACATTTATTAACGCCTTTTAATATTCAGCCCATAAAAAATCTGGACAGGAGAAAGTTGCTGCTGGCAAAAGTCATTAGATAAAGACCCACACATATCTTACCAAGATGTGCTGCTTTCGTTTGCACTTAAAATATGAACATTCTGACACATTTGTACCAATTTACTTAGTAGCAAGGATAAAAGGATATATTCTTTGTCTATACATTGCTCAGAATGAGTTCTAAGCCACATATATCTTCCTGTGACAAAGGTTATAAAAACCTATCCCAACAATTAGTTTAATTGTTTTTTAATGTTGGGTGGTTATACTTTTTTCTAAGAAAGAGAATTCACAGAGTAGCGGAACTCAGAGAATGAAAATAAATCAATGTGAATCATTAAATAAGCATATCCACACACTTAATCTCAAATATGTTACAAGAACTACTAGTTAAATATTGAACACCGCTTTCTTCTTCATGTATGTAAGCATCCACCAGCATTTTATGTGTAAGTTAACAGGGGCATTTAATTTTGATATAATCTGAAAAGCTTACCTTATCTGATCTGAACATATTTACCAAATATACCATAGAATTTGTCCTTGTATTGGGTGTCTTTAAAATAAAAATGTCAATATCTAGTAGTGAACCAAGATTTCAGAATTCGTTTTAACAATTGCCAGAAACCACAGGACTCTTGTGGTCAGGTTTGGTGGCATAGATAACAAACCTTACTGTAACACCCCATTTCCATAGATTAGATCGACCTACTTTAGATCGACCTAACTCCTTGGGGGTTCAAGCTAAATAGCTGTCAGCCGGGCGGACACGAAAATTAATTATCCCCTTACAGCTTGTAGTAGGCGGGACGGACATTTAAGTCGGATTATCAGAAAGTAATCTAGTGAGACTCCCTGCGGGGATAGATCGATCTAAAATCTATGGGAATAGAGCCTAAGTTACAACCTTAATGTGGTAAGAAGAAAGGAAAAATACATTTCATCTTCACTCTCCAATCTGCTTGGATTCAAGTTCATTCAATGTCATAATATATGCTTCAAACACATCCCTGATTATAACTAAATTTATCTGAAATGATCATGTGATTACTACGACCTATCAATATACTTTGCCATCCCTGTTATGTCCAGTAGCTCTATTCTTGTAAACAAGCTAAGTTTAAAAAAATGGCAGATCATTGTATAAATAAATAAATAAAACCCATTGTCATTAAGTGGCCTCTTTTTATTTAATATACTTATTTTTCATTTTGTTATTATTATTATTTTTTGTAACTAGACCTGTGGAAAAAATGTTCATTTCTCCTGGAGGTTATTTTAATGAATGCCCTTCTGACTAGCTGCAGGGGGAAGTATAACCCCTACACTTGATAATCTTTCACCCCATTTCCATAGATTAGATCGACCTACTTTAGATGGACCTAACTCCCAGGGGGTTCATGCTAAATAGCTGTCAGCCGGGCGGACACGAAAGTTAATTACCCCCTTACAGCTTGTAGTAGGCGGGACGGACATTTAAGTCGGATTATCTGAAAGTAATCTAGTTAGACTCCCCGCGGGGATAGATCGATCTAAAATCTATGGGAATAGAGCCTATATGTCCAGCTTAAAATAAATGCATCTAATTATTCAATAATATATCTGTGATAAAGAGGTAGCATTGCTATTAATCTAGCTGGGCTGTTGCACTACAAAATGTCATATCAGAGTACAAGACATGCAAGAATCTGTAGGTTAAACTTGTAACAGTGAGGGCTAAGTCTATGAAACAGTATGACGCCATATCCAAACTGCCAACTTTTCAGCATGAACCATATCCTGTGGATTTTACATTTACATCTTGTAACATTTTTCCAGTAGACGAATTGAGAAATTTATAAGAAACGATGGAAATCTTCATTTATGCGTAAGTAATTCAGGAAAGTGATTGTCTGAGGCAGAGATAAACAATCTCCGTTGACACCTTTTTATCACTTTGTGCACTGAAATTTTATTTTCACCGACACCGCAAAAACATTAAACTGAAGATGTTGTATGCCTAGAAAATGGCGGTCTTGTGTAAGACATACCTGGGGTATGACAAGTTCTGTGCACTGATTGGCTAAAAGATGCTGATGATTGACAGTCCATAACAGATCAGTAATAATGTATGGCACCACACTGAGCTGTCACAACTATACCAATCTTATGTCTTCTGATTTCTACATATAAAGTTAAAAATACATTGTCCAATTGAACTAGTAACAAGCCATCTGTTGGCCATGGACGCAGCACATGTAAAAGTGCATATCCTTCACTACAGAACTGCTCATTAAACATGATAGTCACACAGGACTGTTAAAGGCCAGATAGTGAAGGCCCAATTTGTATACAAGCTAGCTTTATCTGAAAATTTGGTAACACAGTAAAACATATGATATAATGTTTTCTCAGCAGAAACTTTTGATGACCACTAGATGATACTGTATTCAGTAGGATGTGTGCCTGAACTCGATCCAGCTGTCCTTCCACCTCCCTCCCCCCCCCCCCCACAAAACCACCTCAATATGCTTAGTTTTTTATTTCATATTATTTAAATTCAAAAAATTTTTTGTATAAGGAAATTGAACATTGTGCACAATTACACACTTTAAATCCAGATGAAAATATTCCATAATGTTGAACCAAATAATGTAATAAGACAATAAGTTAATATACAAATTACGTATTTAATAATAAGCAGATTACACCAAGAAATGACCGTCATTTTTCAGACAAATTTTCACGCACATCTGAAATTCCTGTGTTGCCAGTTATCATGCACACATGATGTCAATTATCATGCAGCCATCACAAATGTTTCCACTGGCAGAAGATGTCATTTTGTTTCTGTTTGTAAAACATGAGACTACATTGAAGGGGAGGTAAAATGTCTTCCAGGGCAACGACAGTGCAATGTGATGCATTAAACCTCTCATTCCCCATTAGCCACCTGCCTAAAATGTTTACAATTAGACACTGGCTAATGAGTTTTTTTTAACTATCAATTAAATAGATGTGCTGCACACAATACTAAAGGATTTGTGGTCAGTTAGCGGAAAATAAAATCAATTATTGATCATTAAGTCCCTTAGTATACACAACCTCCCAGGTTTCAGTACTTTTAAGGTGCTCCTGTCGTTTTATTTACACATATATTTTAATGGTAGCAGCTAAAAAATCCTTCACTTACTGTTGTGCTTGGTCATATGTGTCACCAGGACTTGAGAGATCTACATGCTAAGATCAGATCAGATCAGATCAGATGAGGGAATTGCAATCAAGCGTACACTTACTGTACAGAACAAAGTCATTGTTTATTAACATTATTCTGTACAGGAAACTTTTTAGTATTATTTCTGAATTATAAAAATTAAATACCTTCAGATTTCGACAGATACTAAAACTTGCATGTCACTTAATATATGAAACTTTAATGTTTTAGGACAGAGTGCCGTGCTCAGAAATGCAAAAATTCGATTAACTACCACCCACTGCCTGTCACATACCAGTCATTTGTGAATAATCCCATTCTTTCATGCAGGTTTCAATTAAATTCAAGTGACAAAAAGAAACAACAATTAACTCAATAAAACTCCAATTTGTTGCAGCCTAACAATAACATCATAATTTGTGTCAAGTTATCAATCAACTTGCCCTCCCATTTGTGGCTTGTCCCCAGTGCCACTTTAACCATTTTAATTACATGCCCTTTCACACCTGGTGAGTGCTTATACACATAAATATATAGATGGAATTAACTTTCTTTGAAATCCCACAATATGAAATAAATGCCCTACCTGCTCTGTTGCAATGAATGTAACTTTGTATTGTTGAATAATTAGCTACTGTGAGATCTGATCAATATGTTTTGACTGCTTATATTAAATAATAATAACAAACATTCCATAATAGTTATAAGACTAATTGCAAACACCATTCCTTACCAGTGGATTTTTCGAGTTGTTATCTTCCTTGTCATCACTTCATTTTTGACTGAAAATTTATGGAAAACATTTTTAAATAGACACAAATAATGAATCAATATTAGAGTTTTCAATTCAAGTGTTGTATGAAATTTAAAACCCAGAACCTTTTAAATGTGCATTTAGCATATGAGGAGTAAAATATCAATTACCCAAATGGTGGCGCAAGGTTGAGCACTGAAAAAATACAACCACTAATCTGTGTGAAAAGTTGTAAGAATCAAAGGGAGCCTGGAAGAATGAGTGCATTCCATAACAGCTAAACCTAGGCCAGGGCCTGTTGATGTTTTTGCAAATAGCCATTGAGAGAGCCAGAGAAAACACTTACACAAACACACAGGTGCATTTTCTCCTGTGTACAAAGGAGACTCAGGTTTCAGTTTTTGTAAAACAACACAATATCGCTTTCCCTCCCATGCATGATATGGGCTGCCATACAAATCATCAAAAGACTTTGTCACAAACCTCTTTTTAAGGGCACTTCCCATCCACTATGATAACTCGTCTAAAATGTGTAATGACTTCACTGGGTTTTGATTATACTGTATGGGTCAGGACACAGGTAACTCTCTGGTACTGAAGGCATAAAGAAATTCCACTTAGCTGCATCAAAATTATGAAGAATATTTTGTCCAGCCTGACAAAATATCATGACCAATAGAAGTCAATAATGTATACAGCTTTCAAATGAAATATGCTATTTTAACCTCCAGGAGACTTGGACAGAGGTTAAAGATGACAGGGGTAATTTTTGCTCTAAAGTCACAATTAAAACTACATAAATCTTCAGGCTTTGTCGTTATCAGGTGCCCCAGTCACAGGCACAGGATCAAAGGAACACCTGAGCTGCCTTTGTCATTAATTTCGAATTTCTTTTTAAATATGCCTGATGTATGACAATGGTCTTTTATCTAAGTACCTTCCACTCACTGGCCTGATATAATTTCCTTACTTAATTTGTTCATACTTAAATACTTGATATATGACAAAGGCTGTGCAACCAAGTAACCCTTAGGTACAAGCCAGTTACCAATTCCTGTAATAATTGGTTTTAAATTTAAATGATTCTGCATTTGCTATAAAATATTTTCAGTCTACTGGGCATGGTAACTGGATAATATTTTGCAGCTTAAAAGTGCATGTTCAATCCCTGTTACTGGACAATTGGACACCATATACTTACCTGTTTCAGCAATCCATATCACCTTTATATTTAACACACACACACACACACACACACACACACACCCTCACACATGCTTTGCAATATATTATACCTCTTCTCCTCCATGCAGTGTTGGTTCTAAAACTCACCTCACTGTATAAAGAGTTTTTCACACTCCAAACTTATCATAACTGGTTTTCTTTGTCCCAAGGTAATGTTCTCGTTAAAAGTCTAATGCAATTACTTCTTGGCTCCGGACAGATTAGAATGGATTTGCTGCAAGCTGAGATATTTACTAAGGATCCAGTGTTTACCCCACTAATTCCACCTCTTGATGTGAACTTTCCTTCCCTAAGTATTTGCTGGAGCTTTTCCCTTCACCATTTTCACATTTCACGCCTACTTTCTCACTTCACCTCAGTCTCTCCTTCTCAGTCCAACCCACATAGATACAATCTGAGCACAACTTCACTTACATAGCACCTTTGTACACTGCACCAGGCTTCAGGATGTTTTCCCAGCTGGGGTTGTTTGGTTAATGATTTACACTATGATTTAAACACTTTACATTAAATATCTATCAATTCAGGTCTGTTTTGTTAAGTTAAATATCAAAATGCTTGTTTTGCAATTCACAACAACATAGTCCAGCCGCCCAAGCTTTTATGCAAATAAGAAAACTGTTTAAGAATAACTATTACTTGTTACAGTGTCAAGGTTTATCTGTAATTCTCATATTCTGTTCAATTAGATATTTGTTTAACACTTGTTCAGTACGCCACCTCTCTAAACAATACAAAAAAATGAGTGCATTTTTAAGCTATGTTTTGTGTAAATTCGGCAAGGCTATCAAAGGACAAAAGGCAATATACCACACTGTATGCTTGTTTGATATTATGATTACCACATCTGATAATGTTGTTCTTAAATCTGTGTCCTCAAGTTACCTCAATAGTATACTGTATATATATTTTGACAAATTTATAAAAATACACCATTAGCAAATGCACATGCATTTCTATTCTTTAATTAGCAAAAAAGGAATAAAAAAATGGAAACTTAAACTCTAAAAAGTTTCCATCACAGCCAAGACAGTCCTCCTACAACAATATTCAGTATATATTCCAGATATCAAAAATGCAGGTTTGCAACCACCACATAATCTAAAGACTTTTATATCCAACTTTTAATTGATATTTCATTCAAGGTTAATGGGAATTAGTGCCATGCTGCCAAGTGTCAGATGCCAGAGAGACTAATTAGCTTGCTACCAAATCCCCTTCAGTTCCTCTTCCTCATTTTAAATCTAAAGCTTGAAGCTAGCTAATAACCTGTGCAGTCACTTTCTAGTGATAAACTTACTCCAAAAAGAAATATATCCCAGTAACTTAATCTGCAACTTCAACTTGAGAATGATGGTATCATTCTTCAGTAGTTTAATAAATATCCTAACATACTTGACTTAAGGATATGTACTAATATAGTTTTGGTCAGTTTGCGCGAGAACATCCATAATAAGATAAAATATCTCTTAACATATCTTGCCAACTGGTAGCAGCTAACTTGCAAAGGACTGATTAAGCCAACAGTAGGTAGTCATTATGCTAATCACCCTAGCAGATTAGAGTGACCAAGGGCCAGTTAACCCCTCACCTGTAGCTGTACACTGCCACTGCTCATTTCCAACCTCATTCTAGCACAGTAATTTTTCTGTCAAATGCTGTGTAGTCTAAACTGCCAAAAGAAAATATGAAATATTTTAATATTTTAGCCATAGTATCCTTGATGAAATGAATAATTTTGTCTGAAATTATCCTGGTGCTTGACAGGTAAAAGTAGCTTTATCCCAAGTGCAAGGACTCCATTAAGTACATGTGTTACTATCTCAGCAGATCATCTAATAACCACTGAATATGTAACCTTGTTATTACCTTATTACAATAATCCACCCTGAGATTTAGGCTTCATTCAAATGCATTGTCTATTTTCTAAATTCTATTTTCTATTCGCGGTATGTCTTATGATCACGGTCTGTGCCCTGAATATCCAGCGGCGTAATTACTGGCAGCGCGAGCCAGTTACTATAAGTTATTATAAGTAACTGGCTCGCGCTGCCAGTAATTACGCGGCGGGATATTCAGGGCACAGACCGTGATCATAAGATAGCGCAAATAGAAAATAGATTTTTAGAAAATAGACATTCCATGTGAACGAAGCCTCAGAGATCACTAGAAATCCATATCAGCAAGGTTCTGCCGTTGACTGGAAATTGAGAGTTTCCAGTGGCCTATCACACTCAGGGCACATTTAGCCTAGCTCTGTATGACAATATTCACTGGCCTTGGGAGAGTTGCCAGGCAGGGAAACTGGCCACTTGGTTAGTTACTCCAATCCTTGGCCCAAACAATATAATATCAGACACCAAGACTGGCCAATGTAAGGGTTAAAATCCTTGGCCAAAACACATAATATCAGACAGCAAGACTGGCCAATGTGAGGGTTAAATTGGGCTCATCTTATGTTTTTTCCGACACACAGAACGGTTGTCTGCCAGCTTTTTTTTCCATGTCCTCTCCACTACTTTTTCCATGTCCTCTCCACTACTTTTGACAATACGAGCCCTTTGTTTTCTTCTTTCAGCATACATTTGATCAAATAAATGAACTGGTGAAAGTGTTTTGAGCCTAGACATGACTTTTTGCCTCTGAAGTAGGTATTTTACAAAATCTGGGTTCTAGATGACTTTTATTTAAATTCAGAACAATAATTCTAGCTTAAACTTTGGAAAACAGTCAATCCACCCCCATAGAGAGGGTGTAATTAAGTCCCTGTTTCTTAAAGTTATAATTCAAACTGCCTTTGTTAAAACTGCATTTTAATATGCCTTACTTTTTATATTCAGTATTAAATGCCTCAAAATCTGACTGGTGGCAGCATTCCAATGATGCTAGCTCCAAGTGCGAAAATGTCTTTCTGGCACCAACAGATATTAAACTTCATGCCCGTTGTATCTGAAGCCGACATGTCTGACTCCCTAGCACTAAAACCTACAGGCAGGTTAGACTAGGTGTCAACAAACAATTTACTTATTAATCACATCATGTCAGATACCTTAGAAGAAGTTACAATCTCGCCAGACTGGTTGTTTGTGTGAAACCTGAATAATACATTAAGTATTTCCTGACAAGCAGTCAGAACTAAAGCACAGTAGGCAAGCAAATATACATGCGTGTTTAGAGTACATTTCAATAGCTGTTGAGTGAATTATTTCAAATTTCAAATGTCTCAATTTATTCAGGCAAAAATGTAAGTTTCCCATCTGTGCAAACAATGCAGACCCTAAATTAGTATGTTTCCCTAAATCACTTATGTTACCACAAAATCCAACTTCCGATAATGTGGTTTGCCTTAAGACTTTAAAAGGCATTGGGGGATAATTAGTGACAAGAATATTGTTCTTTTAATGCTCTAGTCAATTTATCTCAATTTGCTTATTCATTAATTGCATCAAAAGGCACTTTCAATATAATCTTTCAAATTTCATTAGCAATCCACTAAATTCAATTATCTCATCATAAAGACTCCTTGTGTGTTCTCAAATTCATCTTTTTCCATCTGATGGTGTTAAAATGTTCTTGGCATGGCATATCTAAGGTGTATAATACTTTTGAATAAATTTTTTCCAAAACTTCATCTTGAAACTAAAAAATGCCCCTATATGCTTTGATAGGTTGTGTCATTCAAACACATTTTCTCTATGGTAATTTCTTATGCAAAATATTATTTCACATTATGTTAAATTCAGATCATTCAAAAACAAAAAAGCACAAATCTTATCTAATTTAAGACTTCACTTCCCTATGAAAAACACGATCTTTTTTTTACCTAAGGTACAGTCAACACATATTACTAAACCTTAATCCAGTCCTTTGATGCTCTTGCCATTTTAATTGATTTTAAGTAATGATAACTTTTAAAAAGAGATTACTAATACAGTAGTTTATGCCATCAATACCAGAGTTCGTGTGTCTCCTTAACTGCGTAGGACCGTCTTTGCCTACGTACTAAACATCACCAGCCTCACCAGCCTGCAGAATTCACTGAAAGATCAACGAAATAGACGAACGTCGTCTATGCAATGTGCTCCAGCTCCGTTTCGAAAAAACAATATCCCCATCTTTTTTATCATCAACAAATACGATTTTATTTGAAATGTATTTCTGTTGGCAAGTCATTCCAAAGTTATGTCACAGCTCGCCGCTACACTGTTTATTGATACCCACTGGCTATGACAGTCCTGTGCACAGAGATCGGTCATCTGTGTAAACGACAGCGACAAAATGAAACTATCAGTTTAAGTAAACTGGTCTATACAAATGATTTGAAGCTCACGATTCACATCAAACAACTCAATAAACGTTCTATACAGGACTATCTAATATAAGTTGCGTTTTTTACTATAAATTACTCACATTAAACATTGCGGTGTCCTTTGTTATGTCGTCCCTCTGAGCGCCATATTGTAATTGCCCTCGTTTACGGCCGTTCCATTCACCTCCCTCTGGCGCATCTAACACAATCGACAATGTGGCGCCGGCTTCACGGGTGGCCAGAGGGCACATTCATAGTAAACAACAGACACTACTGAACTTTTTCTCAAACTCGTGGCTTCCATTTTTCCTTTCCTTGCTTTTAGTAATTTGGAGAAAACGTCTTGCAGACAATGTTTGCCATAGCTATAATCTTGAGTTTTTCATTCTGCAAGCATAATTTGTTCAATACAGTATCGTTTTTAATATCTATACAAGGAATTTCTTCAAATCTCTTAATCATGCCATTGTTATTGTTATTGCAAAATTATGGAATGTCNGTGGCTTCCATTTTTCCTTTCCTTGCATTTAGTAATTTGGAGAAAACGTCTTGCAGACAATGTTTGCCATAGCTATAATCTTGAGTTTTTCATTCTGCAAGCATAATTTGTTCAATACAGTATCGTTTTTAATATCTATACAAGGAATTTCTTCAAATCTCTTAATCATGCCATTGTTATTGTTATTACAAAATTATGGAATGTCAAAGTATCACAGTGTAAAAATATTTGCAATCAAGTTTAATCCGTTATTTTCTGTTAGGTTAGCATCACACCACTATTTGATGAACATTTTTTTTTCGAACAAAATACATTCATTTACAAGTTTCCATATTTTCCCAATGATTTTGCCCAAAAGTTAAATGGGTAGTTTTTATGTCATTTATTATCTGAGAATCTACATTATACCTGTAATTACAAATGGTAAATATATTTGATTAAAGGGTATAAAAAGTTTTAAATAAAATTTAACATATTGGAAGACAAAGCTAAAACACGCTAAGCTTTCCTAAATTAATGCTTATTTAAATTTTATGATCTAGAAAGCTTCTACAATATATTCTTTATTTAAACAAAAAATGGTTACTGTTAAAGGCTTTATGGAACCAGTCAAAATGATAAAAGTTTCAATAAAAGAATTGTATAGTTCAAATAAAGGTGTCACTTTTGAACAAATGAATGCAACCCTGAGATTCATCACTTCTGATGTACATGTACATGTATGTTGCTTTTTTTCCAATGCTGTTATGCAGTCTAAATTAAAGAGTCACAGATTCACAGCACTTCTTTCAGCACTTGATCACCACTTGCACTCTGAATTTCAGAGAAAACTGGAGCAGTTGTCTATTATCAGCATGTCCCTACCTTCAAACTCATTATACATGTGGATCCAAGATCTGCTATTTCCAGTTTCTGACAGAGACGTGCATCAGGCCTTATAAATGAATTAGCCATTTGTGATCTCGAGTTTTTGTGCACTTGTGCCAAATTAACGACTCAAAGCAGGATATCATGGCAAGAATGTAAAATTAGTGGTCACAAAGACAGCGTATGTTACTCCCATTTTAATGAGTGGTAGTTTGATTTGTTTTTAAGATTGTTATTTATTTTTTAAAGTTAATTCTTAAAAACAGATATGACCACTAGTTTTACATTTGTGCCCTGAAATTGTGGTTTAAGTCATTAATTTGGCATTCGTGCTCACAAATCCAAGGCTCAAGATCGCAAGCGACAATTATTGTTATGAGGCCTATGCTTATAATGGAGCTAATAAAGTATCCAGTAAACTCAGAAATGTAGTACTAGTGAACATAGTAGAGATAATTTTGGTTTAATATTGCTGCCTACTTGTGTTATTGGTATCAAATTATGTATAATAATAATAATAATAATAATAATAATAATAATAATAATAATAATACAATGGCCCAAATGTCAAGCAATTAGTCGCATTACTGAATATATGGCACAGTGTCACTTGAATAAATATGTGACAAGCAATACTGGTTAGAACAACAAAATGTGAGATGTATCAAATGATATCATTACTTTATGTCAAGTAAAGCCCTTATAAAATGAACACACGAATATATGGCAAGAAGCCACATCACTGAATATACATTAAACAGTCACACAAATGGGTGGCAAAGTTGTACAACTTTTTACATGAAGCAAATGGTCACTTTCATAAATACATGACAAACAGTCACATGACTCAATCACATGACTAAGGCCCTTTTCACACCCAGAGGCACACTTAACTGGAGTCACCTAAACACAGACGGGCATGCTTGACACAACCAATTAATTATTTAAAACTTCGGAAAAACTTCTGAAAGGCTGTAAAACCTCCTGTACCTGAAGAGTAATTATATGTCAGGACCTGTCAAAGAGGACCAGTCCCTTTCAGCATACTGCTTAATGTGAAAAGGGCCGAAATACATAGTAAACAGAACAACATTTAGTGTTATATCAAGTAGTGTAGCATCATTGCCTTCAGTAATAGTATATATTCATTATAAAATGAACACTTATCAGTAAATTGAATGCTTATATTAAAGCCTGTTAAAACTATCAATAAACATGAATACGAACACTATACACCTGTAATTATTTTGCCTGTTACAGAAAACTATAATTTGGAAGTTAGTTTCACTTTAACTCGAGGCATCCTTTCTCCGGCTGAGATCTTCATTGCATTTTTTACACCAACACATATCTTGTCCAGTTCATAGAATGGCACAGATTTGTTCACAGGCAAGTACACTATGTGGTCCAGCAGGTACTTGGCTTCGTGGGGAAAGTGGGAGACAAATTTCTGCAGGTGCTTTAAGTGTGAGTTTCCATTGGTTGGCTCGATCAGATTCAACTGTGTTGCGCCTCTGTATGCATTGATACCAAGTGCATTGAGAATTGTGACCACATTGTCTGGATTTTCCTAAAAAATAGTATAAATGTTCATAATCATAAGTAATTTATGTATATTTGCTTTTCCACAATAAACAATTTCTGTCTTTCTTGTCGGAATTTTCTTGAAGAACAAGACATATTTTCATATATACATAATGTTTATTTAATGTTTACATATACATTTTAACACTGAGCTACATAAAAATAAGGTTTGCTAAAGAATAAGGATAGCTAGATAACTGATAGTGCTCTTCTTATCTATCACTCCAAGTGTCAGTCATCCACTAGATTAGCCAAATAAAGTTGAAGATATACATACAGTACTTATCTGAAGGATATGTTGTAATTTTCATCTATGTAAAAAGTGAACATGTTTAACAAGGATGAGTGAGTCATCTGCTAATCTGCCAGTTTTTTTCTAAATATTTCTATCACACTATGTAACATTTTGTGATCTGTCATAGAGCATACTGGCTTTTAAGGGCAGAAATCAATGTGAAATAATGCCTAATGGAATGTAGAAATATGTTTGCTGATGAGCTGAAATCATCTGGTAAAATACAAAAAATAATAATAATAATAAATACACTTCAATCACAATCCACAAGACAAAAATAAATGAAAAGCTATCAAAACAATTATATACCAAATTAAACCTGACCAAACCTACCACAACAATGGGAAATAACCAGAAGTTTCTAACATCGGCCTGGCTTCCTACTTGTGTCACTGAATCTGGCAGTCTCTCACTGACATACTCTCCCTTGATACGGCTCATATTGAAGTCAGAGATATCAAACTTTGACAACCTTCTATACATCATGTACAGCAATGGCAAGCACGGCCTGTGACGGATCATTTCAATAAGTCTGTCTGGAAAGCCACGCAGCATGCCAATGACGAATCCCTCACAGTCAAGCTTTAAAGAGTGCATGAAAATATACATCCCTGGTTTGATCAGTGTGGGACAGTTGAGTAAGGTGTATGGAACAAATAACTTCAAAACCTTTTTGAGGTAAGTCACAGAAGACTGTTTAGGGTATGTAGAATAAAAGTTGCTCATTTCTTCAAACAAAGCTTGGTCTCTTATTTTTGCAATACCACCACCAAATGCTGTGTAGAATTTAATGGAGCCAAAACTAAAGAAGGCAATATCAGTTTCTGGATGTCCGAGTTGCTCAAAACCATTAAAACACTCAGCACAGTCCTCTAGTACAATCAAGTTATGCTTCCTGCCTACTTCAATGAAAGGGGCCATGTCAAACTTCTTCCCATAGATGTGCGCTAAAAGCATAGCAACAGTTTTCTCTGTTATCAAGCTCTCTAATAGCTCCACTCTAGGAGCGCAAGTATCGAGATTCAGATCCAAAGGAACAGGTATTAGTCCATGGTACTTCACAATTTCCACCATATCTGGAATGTTCATAGCTGACATTATGACTTCAGATCCCTGAGGGAATGCCTTTAGTCTGAGGAACATATCCAGTCCTGTCCTCACTGACAGTAAAGGCAGAGTGTATTGTGGACTGGACTGGTTGTGGAACAATGTAGAGATCTTTGCTGTCAGGTCCTCTCTACCATATGGTGACCCATAGAGACAGGCCTTAATGGCTGACATGAAATCTGACACCTCCGCATCTGAAAGTGTAATATTAATAATTATGACTCAGTTTTCATACAAAATTTCCTATCCCAATGTATCGAAAATCGTCAAAAGAAGACTAGTGCTAATGCATAATTTCCTACCAGTATTTCTTCAATTCCAGAAAGGCTTTAAAAATCACAAAAATCCATATCAGCCTGTTATGTCTGCTGTAATACATTTGGGGAACAGATATTACAATATGATGCTCAGTGTTTATTCTTTTTTTTCTTTTGAAAATATGATTGGGCTATAAGACCAAGACTTAGAGAGTGTTAT